AGAAACATTAATCCAGGGTTAGCTCACTGAGCCGCTCTGGAGACAGATGTGACGTGTATTTCACTCATCGTAGGCCGGATACTCAAACTCTTTTTTACTTTCAGTGTCACAGTATCACCTAGATGTTTGGATTCAAACCCAAACCACTGTGGCTAACATGGTACGTGCTATATGTGTAAGCAAACACACGGAGATAATGTAATGTGAATCTCGCAATCTTTGACCCCAGGTCAGTGTGACCATTATTGTTTTGGGGGGGGCTTTAATGTGCTTCTAAATGGCAATCTTGTTTTTATTAATATACAGTTGCTCTTGCATATGCTATAGTCAGTTGACTTACTGTTTTATATTGTGTAAGTGAAGTGTCTGAGTGATTAGGTTCAGACTTGTGAAGTTCACTGTTTTATGGTCTTGATCTTTGAATGTATATTTGGTTGAGATAATTTGGAGTTGCTGTATGTGCAAAACTTGATTGCAAATGTCTTCTTGGGACAATAAACTGTGCCATCCCCCGGGCGCTGTACAATAGCTGCCCACTGCTCCTAGTACTAGACTCCTTGTACTAGGATGGGTTAAAAGCAGAGGCCAAATTTCACTGTGTGTGCTGTGTGCTCTGCATGTGTGACCATTAAAGAGGGTTTCATCCCTCCCTATTCTATTCTATCATATAATATGGTATCAACGAGCCAAACTGGGTGCTAACAGGCCATGTGTGGTCTAACTTCTAGATTGCTCCACAAGTGTGGGTTGGAAGTGCGGGAAGCAGGGGATTCAAATGTAGTCAGACAGGCAGACTGAAGCAGTGCAATGTTTTATTGTAAATTAGTTTACGGCAGATGCAAGTAGGCAAACAGGCAGGCAGGTGAACGGGTAACGGGTAGATAGACAATATGCAGGGAGGTAAGCAGGTTCTGGTCCAGGATCGGGTGACAGAAGTTCAAAAGCAAAAACTCAAGACAGCTATATAGCAGCTGGAATGAAATGACAAAGAAAAAAGGATCTTGACCGGTACATGTAGTGAGTGGCTGATGAGAGAAGTGAGAAAAGGTGAGCAGGGGAATGATGAAGTCTGGTGAAAAAGTCTGAGGGCATCAGATCGCTCGAGGATGGCTGGTCTAGGGAGAAAGTTCATGGCCTGGGAGGTGAGCAGGGGCTTGAGACAGGGACAGATCGTAAAGCAGAGGGCAGGGGATGAGAGAGTGTGGCTGGAGGAAGGGACTTGGAGGCAAACTGTGACAATTTTTTGATCCTGAGGGTGACATTCTAACACCAATAAATACAAAATAAAACAATGTTTTAATTTGTCTTACATTTGGGTTAAATATTGTCATTTAAATAACTATTATCATTTTTATTAATAATGAATAACAATACATTTCTTAAAGAAAACAGTTATTAATATGTTTTTCTGACATTAACTTTTTCATCCCATATTTAAACTATGCTGCATTCGTGGGAACTAGGAAGTCCCAGTTTTGAGTTGGAAAAAGCCAATGAATAGCCTTCAAGTTCTTTGTTAGAAATACAGATTTATTTTATTTTTTTGTTCAAATCAAATCAAATATTTTCAATACTACTATGGGTCTTAAGCCCTATTGTATTTGTAGTTGTATCTTCTTGCTGTCTTGTGGTTATGTATCCGTGGGAATTAGTATAACTTCAAGTTGGAGTTTTTCCATTTCCGGGGTCTTTTGAACGCAGCATATCTGACTTGAAGCAATTAGCGCGAAAAAAAAGCGCCATAGAGACTGAAGTCAGTTGGAAGGATTGTCGGTGGAAAACTGTGCAAAAGTGGAGTCGCGGTAAGTTTTAAATGAAATGATAAACATGACTTTCTGCTGGCAATCGGTATTTTACTAATCTATATGCTCAGTGGAGCTAACTCCAGTTAAGCTAATATTCTCAGTTGCAGCTAACTCCAGATCTTTAGGCTAATATTTTCAGTTGGAGCTAATGTCAGTTAAGCTAATATTCTCAGTTGCAGCTAACTCCAGTTAAGATAATATTCTCAGTTGTTATGCCGTGATATTTGCTACAAACTGAAAATCCAACAGGTAGCCTACTGAAGTAAAGAGAGTCCCTTCACACTGGAATCGTTTTTTTATCCCCCAGCAATATCTGACTTGAAGCAAATAAGCGCGAAAAAAAAGGCGCCCTCAAGAGGAAGTCAGTTGGAAGGATTGTCGGTGGAAAACTGCAAAAGTCAAGTCGCGGTAAGTTTTAAATGAAATGATAAATATGACTTTATGCTGGCAATCGGTATCACTAAGCTATATTCTCATTCTCAGTGGAGATAACTCCAGTTAAGATAATATTCTCAGTTGTTATGCCGTGATATTTGCTACAAACTGAAAATCCAACAGGTAGCCTACTGAAGTAAAGAGAGTCCCTTAACACTACAATAATTGTTTATCCCCCAGAAATATGTGTAATTCTGTGAATGTAAAACCCACACACCTCAAACTTTAATTATTCCTGTGTTATTTTCCAAAGATAATGTACACTTTTTAATATTGTAGTTAATCTCCTGTTAGCAGTTTGTTTAAATGTATCAGTCATGTTGTTTTTTGTTTGTAGAAGCGCACCATTTATTGATTTGTTGTAAAAACGAATCGGAACTGAACTTGATCACAATAATAGATACAATTCATACCAATTTTGGGAGGGAGTAAGGCATCACATGTTTTGTAGGAAGTTGTTAAATTATAGCAAAAACCCTGTTACACATTTTGTTTTTGTCTTGTAATTTGTTTGTATCATGATGTTTTTTAACTTAACAGTAATATTCACACTATGTTACAGAAATTTGAAGGTGGGCAGAAAATAGTGGTAGAGTGGCAAGTGCACTATCACCATTAAGGTAAGCTGCTTCCATGTGATACATTTCGCTAAACTATATGAAGTATCAATGTTAAATGTTGTTTCTTCTTTCTTTTTCAGAGTAACTGGCTGTTGACAACCTATACAGGTTGGCTAATTCTCAAAGAGTAATTGTTGTAATTGCTGTCTCATGGAGAGGGAAAAGTGGAATATCACTCGCAGCAATTCCAGGAAAAGGGCTGTTAAAAGAGTCAACCAGTTGTTAGAATCTTTGGGTGACGAGGATAATTATGTTGAGGATAATGCTGAAGAGAACTATAGTGTTCAACATGGAGCAGTCGCTTCAGGCTCGGATTTTCCACCAAACTGTCAGTCAGAGAGTAATGGGGAAAGTGAATTAACTAGTGACGAGGATAGCCATGTGGATGAAAGAGGGGATTTTCCTAAAGATGATTTTGCGGGTTGTTTGAGAGACTGGGCAACACATTTTGGTGTTTCATTAATCGCTTTGTCTGCCCTCTTGTCTATACTGAAACCCCATCACCCCTCTTTGCCAAAAGATGCAAGAACATTCCTCAAAACACAGACGTACCATAGCATTGCTTCCTTGGCGGGTGGATCATTCCATTATTTAGGTATACAGAATATGTTCAGCCAAATATTTCAGAAGCTTACATCAGTTGTCCCGAGTCATCACAGTTTCAAATTACAATTAAACATTGATGGTCTTCCAATTTTTAAAAGTTCATCTGTTCAGTTCTGGCCAATTTTGGGAATGCTCCAGGGGTATTGTAGAAAACCTGTGCTGATTGCTCTTTTCTGTGGGAAGTCAAAGCCTCAGTCATTGTCAGAATATCTGAAGGATCTGGTCTGTGAGTTAAAAACCATGAGCAGTGGATTTGTTGTTAATGGTAAGACCTTCTTCTTGACTGTGTCCTCAGTAATCTGTGATGCTCCTGCGAGGGCCTTTGTTAAGGGTATTAAGTCACACAATGGATACAGTGGCTGTGATAAATGTGTACAGTCAGGCAATTACATTAATCATCGCATGACATTCCCAGAAGTTGATGCTAGAGCAAGAACTGATGTATCTTTTTCAAATGCAGAGGATGAAGACCACCACGTACAACATTCCCCATTTTGTGAAACATCTGTTCCTATGGTCAGTGGATTTCCACACGACTATATGCATTTAGTGTGCTTAGGTGTGGTGCGTCGTCTGCTTGATTTGTGGATGGGCACAAGCGTCAAGTTGCATTCCCGCATTTCATCCAGGCAAGTCTCTTTAATTTCAGAAAAATTGCTTGCTCTCAGAAGTTACATACCCTCAGAATTTGCTCGACGGCCAAGGGCCCTTAATGAGAGGTTGCGATGGAAGGCAACAGAACTTAGGCAGTTCTTACTTTATACCGGTCCAGTAGTTTTGAGGGATGTGCTGACTACTGAGGTTTATCAAAATGTTATGCTGTTGTCTGTGAGTATATACATTTTGGCAAGTCCAACATATTGCTTGCTGTTAAATGACTTTGCAAACACACTACTTCAATCATTTGTTAAGCATTTTGGGGAACTCTATGGTCAGGGTTTTTTAGTTTACAACATACATGGTTTGACTCATCTCAGTGATGATGTGAAGGTGCATGGCCACTTAGATTTAATATCAGGGTTTCCTTTCGAAAACTACTTAAAAACAATTAAAAGAATGGTTAGAAAACCTAGCTCTCCACTGCAGCAAGTTATACGCAGAATTTCAGAACTTGATTCACCAAGTTTAAAAGATGAGGAAACTTTGAAAACCCACAAGAAATTGAAAAGGCTGCACTCAGATGGACCTGTTCCACATGGCTTTACAGGAAATGTCTCCCAGTTTAAAGAACTGGCAATAGATGAGTTTGTCATCAGTTCATCAGAGAGGGACAGATGTATCAAGAGGAACAATAACATACTCTTGGTTCAGAATATAATTGTCTTTGAGGGTGAGGAATACATTGTCTGCAAAGAATATAGACACATTGCAAAGTTTTTTGACTATCCCATTGACTCCACAGATTTGGGAATTTTTTTTGTGTCAGATCTGTCACCAAATCTGATGTGTTTCAAGTTAGATACCAATGTGCAGAAGTGTGTCCGGTTACCTTTGGAGGTTGGTTTTGTTGTTCTGCCACTTCTTCATGCAGACCCATCCTAAATTGCGGTATTAACATATGTGGTGTGGTAACAGTCATTGGGACTGCTGAATTTAACCAAGCTTTTTATCTTGAGGAAAATGATTGATCATTTGTGTGCATAACAGCGGTGACAGTGTCCAGCCTGCCTTCACTTATCTCTGTAGGTGCGTATCCCATATTATTATGAACATGTATTAATGATCAATTTAGCCATCATTCACCTTTTAAAGCATAAGGATTATCATAAAAAATGCTTTCTTCTAATTTAAAGACTTGTAATTATGTGAATAAGTTTGCAGTTTGGAAAAACGTAAAAGGTTACTTTGTTTATACTCTTAAAACTAGTAACTTTGTGCCTCTTTCTGTTCTAGGCCATGTTTCACATTGTTGAGTTTCTGGAAACCCAAGAGGTTGAAGTAGTTCCAGCACTGTGGGTTGCAGATGATAACTGTCAGTGGCCAGCTCACTACAAGCACGACGACTTAATTAAAGCCATACGAAATGAGGAGCAGCCTGAAGACGTGTGGGATGCATTTAGTGTCCGGATTCTATATACAGCTGGTATGCAAATAACATATTTACCGTGAGGATTCACTGATTTGAAAAATCATAATCTAATGATATTTCTCTTGTTTTTACAGCAAACTACAAAACCGCTCGTCTAAAACTCCCTCAAGCGGAAACCCACACTGATCTTCAAACAGCAGAGGAAGAAGACAAGGATGACCTCCCAAAAAGAAAGCGTAAAAGGCTGTAAGTATTAAAGTGCCATTCTACTACTATTGTTATAGATGTAAATGTTATGGAAAAATCTAAAGTCAAAATGTGTGCATTTTTTCAGGTTCTCAAATCTAATATAAGACCTCTCAAGAATTGAGACTAATATACCTTAACAGAGAAGAGTTTTCTTTTCATAACTTAAGTATTTAAACAAATATGTTAAAAACACTATTTTAAAAAATGGTGCTCTGAAAACAAAATGCAGTGGGTTTGTCCTCTCCTCCAAACTATCCCTACATACTAATGAGTCATGGTAGATATACATTTTATCTGATATTTCTTTACCACATAATTTATGCTGCATTGTTTTTCCTTTGTAATCCCCCCCCCCCCCCCCCCTAACACACTCACACACAAGACCGAACACTCGATTTGAGAGTGACAGTGATAATGAAGTTACTGTCAAACAAAAAAGGACATTGCCACCAGGCCCAAACATAATAGGGCCAGGCTTTGATATACAGTCTGCATTAAAGAAACTGGCTATGAGCACAAAACATCACAAGCAGATGACAAGCCCAGATCCCAGACGGTCTGCGAGAAGCCCAGAACCCCCACAGTCTGCGAGAAGCCCAGAACCCCCACAGTCTGGGTCTTTGAGAAGCCCAGAACCCCGACAGTCTGGGTCTTTGAGAAGCCCAGAACCCCGACAGTCTGGGTCTTTGAGAAGCCCAGAACCCCGACAGTCTGCGTCTTTGAGAAGCCCAGAACCCCGACAGTCTGGGTCTTTGAGAAGCCCAGAACCCCGACAGTCTGGGTCTTTGAGAAGCCCAGAACCCCGACAGTCTGCGTCTTTGAGAAGCCCAGAACCCCGACAGTCTGGGTCTTTGAGAAGCCCAGAACCCCGACAGTCTGGGTCTTTGAGAAGCCCAGAACCCCGACAGTCTGCGTCTTTGAGAAGCCCAGAACCCCGATATTCTGCGAGAACCCCAGAACAAGATGAAAGCCAAGGGGGTCTTGCTCGTAAGTGATTTCACAATTTGTTATTGTTTCGTCCGTAAATGTATGTATATGTACATTTATATATGTTGAATGTCCTTATTTTTAGCTCTTCTGCATAGACTTCTTACAAATCAAGAGATGATGATGGATCAACTCAAAGTCATTCAGATGAACATGCAGAACATTCCAGGCGAACCTGCTGGTGGGCCGGATCCCCTTGGCAGAGATATACTGCCGCTAAAAGAAATAACCTCCCTGTTGGCTCTGGAGAAACGTCTGAGGGAAGACGCAGATCTTCAAAACAAAATGGTAATTATTGCCCTTACCAACTTAAAAGGATGGGGAACCCAATTTGAAACTATTGTTAATATTTTATTTGCCACCTAAGTTGTATGTTGGACAGCAGTGAGGCTAAATACCAGCTAAGCGAAAAGGGAAATAATGTTTTTTAATGTTAATTTTTTTTTAAATTAGGTTATTGTGACTTGTGTTTATATAATGCATGTATCCTTAGCTTTTAAATGATCTTTTTCAGATTACTGCATTGAGTGTCATTGGAGGACTGGACGTTAAGGATTGCGTTTGGCGAGTGATGAAACACTGTTTTAGCAACTCCCTTGCCAAACAGCTCAACTGGCGTGGCATCAATGGGAAAACAGCATTCCACAGACTGCAACTAAAAGATGTCATTACTGGTAAGTGTTACATTGCGCTGTCATCAGTCTAATGAGTCCAGTCCCCTTTTCTTGCATGTTTGACACTCAGTTAGTATTTACTGATCCTAGATTCAACCAATTCTAATTACTCTTGGTAAAAAAGTCAAGTAAAATGGTTAACATGGTTTGCCACATAAAGAGTTAAAAAAGAAATTCTGAAAGGAGGCTGGAAGCACATCTACTCTTTCTCCCTCATTGAGAAATTCTGGATCAGCTGCAGTCCGATTTTACTAGCAGGCGTCAAGCTTGTTGCTGTTGGGCAGCTGAAGGAAAAGGCGTCCTCTGCCATGGCCAGAATGTTCTCAAAGTGACCACTGAATTCGTCGGACACAGCACGCCATGCACTTGGCTGATCCTTAGGTCCCCAGATTGCGTCCTAAGTTGTTCAATCCATCCAATGGCTTTACAATGTTCTCTATTTTTAGGGACTGTCAGAAACAACAGGCTCACAGCGACAGCAACAGACCAAGAGGTAGAAGCCTACATAAAAAAATGGCTTCACCTTGCGGGCGACCGAGATGGAGGTAGAAGAGAGAGAGAGGAACGAAGACGAGCTGTCCAAGAAACCCGTAAGTCAGTTACAATATCTATTTTGCAATATATGTATAATAATTTGTAATATATAATGAATGTTTGTGCATTCCTTATAGGCCTTCAAGATTCCCATGGGCCCAGTCAAGGAGGTCAATAAATCCCGGAAAGGTTGTTCTCGTGCCAAGGTCGGCAAAAGTTCGTTCATTTAGTATAAGTATAGTACAAGTATTCTGTTCTAGTTATGTTTTCACGAGAAAATCAATAAAATAAATCTGAAATGTCACTGAGTCTGCAGAAGAGTTTGTTTATTTTTGGGGAGCTAAGCTTTATTTTTTAATTGCATGTTTTTTCAAAGTTGCTTTACTATACTATACATATTTTGTTTTTGTTTATTATTCTGTTATTTTGGCATGGTTGGATTGTATCCCAGTTATTTTGAAAATGTAATGATGCAGTGGCTAGTTCATCACCACTATTAATAAATTATGATACAATCATTAAAAAAACGTTTGGTTCATCTGTTGTAACTCATTTGAACATTTATTGATGCAACTTTTGGGAGGCCATTTTGAAATTTGTATTTACTGTATGTTGAATATTGCTATTGATATTCAGTTACTGAGTCACCAAAGTTTTAATGGCTTTTTAGGGCCAGGTCTGGTTTATTTAGTTCATTCTTGGCAGACATGTGGCCATGCTTTGACCTGCTTGTGGCACAGATCTGGTAAACATCACCCGACCGTCAAAGTGCCATAATTCCATGCCGCATTTGGGCCGGATGAGGATACGGAATGTGGGCCGGAATAAAAACTAACTGTGGCCCAGATTAGGGCCAGTTCTGGCCAACGAGTGGAACGCCCCAGTGCCATCACTCCATGCAGTATTTGGGCCAGATAAGGATATGGAATGTGGGCCGGATCTGGGCCAGAATGAAAACCAACTGTGGCCCAGATAAGGGCCAGTTCTGGTTTATGTGGTTCGTTTTTGGTTGACATGTGGCATTGCTATGGCTTGCTTGTGGCCCAGATCTGGCAAACAGGAGCGGAGCGCCCAAGTGCCATCATTCCATGCGGTATATGGGCCGGATGAAGGTGTTTTGTGTGGGCCGGATCTGGGCCAAAACTTTTTTGCTATCTGGGTAGCCCGCCTACGGAGACGCTGATTGGTCAATTCTTGGTTGCTGCGGGAGCAATTCTTGGTAGCAATACGGGCGCTGATTGGCCAGAGCTCTGAATTCTTGGTAGAATCTTGGTAGCAGACGTGAACGTGATTGGCTGTCGCTACCAAGAATGAGCTCGACTCACAGGCGACGGAATACGCCCTGCGAGCCGGTTTCGAATCCCGCTCTATCCCTAGATAGATAACACGGCAGGGTCCGTTACAGTTTGTTTTCATCTGATTTCAAATAAACAAAGTCTTGGCTTTCAGAATATTACACTTGTTTCGGCAAATTCAGATGATAAATACAACTTTGAAGCTTGTAACGGCATAATTACAAGCGGAGAACGGAGTAACTTAACGTCACAGCAGGCATAACAACAGCCGGTGTTTCTCATGAGTGTTTTCCCCGGGAAACAAACACAATACACACAAACGCAAAAATACACAAACACACACACGTATACACACACACACACACACACACACACTCTCGCGAGCTTCCCCCAGACCAGTAATCCAAACGAAAATATCTTCCCTCCGTAGTATTTTGATCATTTGCTAATAATCAATCAGATCGATGGATTCCAGAGAAGAGGAAACTTTGAAGGCCTTTTTCTCAAAATGATGACTCGGTGACAGTCATTATATAATGTGACATATTTTGCTTAATATTTGGAGTACAACAACAATCCTGACATCATTAGAAAGCTAGGAATCTCCTCTTTCCAACAGTGTGTACAACTCAAAATGTGTCTTCGGGTCAATGCGACTGATTTCGATGGAGCAGGTCACATATGGAGTCAGACACTGGAGGCTGATGCGTTGACTGGGACTGATGGAAGGATGAGGCTGATGAGGCTGATGAGGCTGATGAGGCTGATGAGGCTGATGAGACTGAAGAATCGGCGAGGAACGAACTAGCGGCTGAGAAATAATCATATATTAAAAGACAGCAGCATCATAAGAGGCCAACAAGAGTGACAGAGTGTGTCACTTTGCTGAAGGATATTTGTGACCATTCAGCTATCCAGGCCAGACTCTAAAGACTTTCAAAGGGGTAAAAACGCTGCTGCTGGAGTACTGACTGGAAGTATTGCTGATATCATGTCTACCATATCCTCTTAAAATACTCTGTCCAACAATATCAGTCTCATGAAGAAAGGTGTTTTAACGCTTATTCAAAATAGCAGAGAAACATGCATTCTTGTACTCAGGAGGGGACATTGACAGAGGATTACTGGAAAACTACACAGTAAGTACTTCATAGTACTTGTGGGGGTAGTTTCACTAGTACTGAGTCCAACAGGATCAGTCTCACGAAGAACTAATGGCAACAAAAAAGAATTCCATCATCAAACTTAGCCGAAGTGGCTTGATTTTGTTCTCAGTAGGGGACTCTGACAGAGTATTTCTCAAAGAATACACAGTAAAAGTACTTCAATGTATTGTAAATATTAGGCTAAGTCTCAACAGTATCAATTTCATTAAGAACTAATGGTAAAATTGTATTTTTATCATTCATCAAAGATAGCAGAAAAACATGCATTATGTAGCCTACTATGGAGGGGACTTTCACAAAGTACACAGTAAAAGTACTTCATTTTATTTCTGGTAGAAGTCAAACTAGTACTGAGTCCAACAGTGTCAGTTTTCTTAAGAACTTGTGGTAAAAAATATTTGTATTACTCGTCTAATATAGCAGGAAAAAAATGAAGAGCAGCTGATTTGAAAAAACAAACTCGAGAGGCGGCTGAGTTGACCGCAGTGCAGAATCGCTGTATAGTTTAAATCTCCTAACAATGTTGTCCATTTTAGACATAGGCTTATTATTTTTACAGCCCTTAATAACATTCGTTTTCTGGGCTCAAAGTGTGTCTTGGCCGTTTTCATTGTGATCGCTAAATTCCCCTTGTTTATAATAATCACCGTTCCTTCAACAGGATACTGTAGTGATTCAAAGTGTGATTTTAGAAAACGAGTGCTTTTGTTTTGAAATCACTTCCGTGAGTTTCGCCCCGCTCCTCGCTCCAAGGACCATTTGATCATTTTGTAAGGTAAAAAGCAAAAAGCAAAAACGCGTCGCAGAGGCTCTTCCGTTTAATAAAGAAAAATAAATGGACCGTAGATATACGGATTCTGACCTCACCTGCGCTCTTATTTTGTAAGGTAACTTAATAGGAAAAACCTGTAGTTTTTTTGTTTCTGTTTTCTAGTGATTTTATTTTTTGTTTTGAGAAGTAGAAAATGAAAATCATCCCGTTTTTTAAAGTGGACCTATCATGCTATATTTGAACAATATATTGTAGGGCCATACCTATATAAAACATGTCTGTTTAGTTATTTTTTCAAAATACCAAACAGATCATGCATTTTAGCCATGCCCCATTTCGCTCTATTTACTCTTTCCAACCCTGTTTTTGCAGGGGCTGATTCTGTGGCAAATGAGCTGCAGCTGACCACGCCCCCCTGCAGGAGAGGGGAGCGTGCTTTGAGATCAGCTGCTGGGCTGTCAGAAGAGGGGGAGAAAAAGAGATCTCCGTCCTCCGTGTTTTATTCTTATATGATTATATATAGAGTGATTATTCATTTGTTTTAAAGCTCAATAAATAACAAAGAAGACCTTTGACCGGCACTTTTCTAATTTTGTCCTGAAGATTTAAACTTTAACGGACATGTTGACTGGCGAAAAAAAATCTAACTGTCCCCTCGTTCCTTGGAAGAGGCGGAGAGGTGGGTGTTTGTCATCTAGAGAATTACAGTGCTTGCCTCGACGGGGAGGGATTGCATTGAATTAAAGCAGCAGGAGGCGCAAACGCTTGCCTCGGGGAGGGAGAAAAAGAGCCACAGCTGAGAATAAACAGAAGGGCAACCATGGCAACCATGCAAGGGAAGTCTTCTTCGCTGCTTTTGTGGCAGACTAGAGCGCCACTTACAGGCCTGGCATATGTACTACAGCGTCTCCAGCGCTTTCGAGCGGCAATGGCCAGCCGTGGCCCAACCCCACATTCCCCTGATAGGTGGAGAGTTGGCCATATAGGCGGAGCTCCTCGTTCCTGACGTCAGAGAATTTTCAAATCTGTATCAGTCTGTATCAGATCCGTTGCAGCCCCGTTTTTAGAGATTTGGGTATGGAGGAAAAAAGAGAGGGTTGTGTTTTCTGACACTTGGTGAGTTCCCTGACACACCAGGGACACATATTCATGTTTAAAAGACATACAAAAGTGCATTTTGCATGATAGGTCCCCTTTAAGTTTAGTAAATCCCTTTTTGACCATGATAAAGAAAAACGCCTTGTATTTCAATTTTAAAATGAAAATTAAATATCCAGTCGTTTTTTGTTTTTGAATATCCATTTGTGAAAAGAAAAGAAAATGACCAAAACATACACTGACCTTATAACACTGATCTTAAGCAGTTTTCACTGATGCTTGGAAGATTGGTACCAATGTTCTGGGTAGTTTCATGGCTTGCGGTCGAATAGTCCAAAAATCAGCTCCTATCGTCTATCCCTATCGCCTATTCCTTGACCTCTGTGTGAAACGTCACGGGGTTAAGGGATAGGAGAATTCAAAAGGATTTAGGAGAAGAGAGTGCGGTGCTTTGAGAATCCAACTGCACTTTCACTATCCGACGTATTTATGATGCACCAGCGGACGTCATGAATGTGCGTCTGCTGCTGTGGGGAAACTATGGAAACTACAGTTTTCTATACAGCGGACTACAACATGGATGTTTAATAAGAACGACCAGTGGCGGCCGGTCCATAGGGGCGCTAGGGGCGCCGCCCCACCTCTTCCCATATTGAAAAAAAAAAATAATAATAATAATAATTAAAATTAAAATAAAAAAAAAAAAATATGTTTAAAAAAATATATATGTTTTTATTTTTATTTTTAATGAACAAGGTAAATATTATATAATTGGTATCAGTAAAATGTATAATCTACAATAAAATCTCGTTTAAAATTGTGTTACGATGTCTAAAGTTACTGATAAGTCACATGTTTCCTGCCTGGCCTTGCCCATGCACCTTCTCTCGTCTGGGCGCTAAGAGAGGAGCCTTCAACCAGTGCAGCAGCAGCCACCAGCAGCTGACTGTTGCTATCTGTAACGTGTAAACTATGCCGCGAAAATATAATTTCAGCCAATCAGCGTCGTCAAAGATGACGGTCACCGGGCGCCAATGTCAGCGCCCAGTGCAGTCTGTGAGTAGTT